TAATAAAAGAATTTAACTTTAAAAAGCAAATGCTTATCTAATTAAATGAATAAAAATATTTAAATTATTAGTAATAACAATTATTAACTATTAAATTAGACAAAATCATTAACTGTTAATTTTAAATTATTACACTAAACAAATCTAAAAAGTCAATTTTTGAATTTTCCTCTAACAAAATTTTAAATTTATAATAAAAGAATTTAACTTTAAAAAGCAAATGCTTTTCCAAACACTCTCAAGAATAGATATAGGTAACTTAGGTTCTATGTTTCAGTGGAGAGGCTGAGCAAGGAGAGTAAAAACAGGGTAACGAAGAATTAGAAAGCAGACATTTTTAATGATGAAAGTTCTCCGGTTTTGTTGCCTAGGATCATGTAGAGAATCAATTATCATAAGAATGTGCGGAGTTATGTCACCATCAACCTCAGTGTTAAATGAATAAACGGTCAATTTGAGGATCACTCTGCTCCAGTGAAAGATGGCTTGGGAATTTTAGGGCAAATGCATTGAACAATTTTTTGTGGCTTGAAGGTGGGACGAGGTGGCTGTATTTTTTTCACAAAAGATTTAACAAGGTCATGAGTCAAATTGAATAACAAGAAGGCATATGAACTCCCTGGAATCTCACATTTCTAAGTCATATACGTAACCGGAGGAAATACCTTGTCCATTCTTGTGAAACATTCTCTGCTATGAGCTTAAATTTCTCAGAAGCAACTGAACATTTAGTACAACACTGTTTACCAATTACTTTTGAAAAGAGATATGGGTAAACTCCCACAAGCTATCCCTATCCTCAGCTTTCCTCCTAGTATATCCTGAACTCACACCACTCACTGGGAAGAACAGTAGAAAACACAGGACATTTTTTGATTTTTTAAATTTGAGATACCAACAGAACCTAGGGCCATAATGGTTTTTTTCTCTTTATTTCTGATGGCATATATACCAAGAAAGTAGGAAATAATAGATCCAAAAATAGCCTGGCTGCCATGCCCACCTAAAACCTCAAACCTTATGCCATCACAGCTGACCAACACAACAAAGCCATATCCAGGAGATTGAGTATCACTAAGAATATTGAACACAATAACAATCAGCTACTCAATAATCTCCTTTAAACAGAATATGAGATTTGACAATTAAAAGCAGCCTTAATTCTGGTAACCAGAGCATCCTCAAGCCAACATATTCTTGTAACCAGAGCATCCTATCACAATCCTAGCACAAGCAAAGGAATAGCTGAATGGTTTTTCCAATGATAATCCAACTATACCCACACCTGCAACGTATTTGATAATGCCATTGAGCACCAAACTCAGGCAAAACATAACAAATATTAGATAAAATTCAGGAAACAAGGAGCGACAATCCAAACTCTGACTTCACACATCTATGAAAACCCACAACTTAACACAGAAGGCGATAGGAGTAATCTGGAAGGGGAGTCATCTGAGGCTGAGACGCTCAAAATCTCAATTGAGCATTCAAGGATGCACTCGATCCCTCTGCAAGATATCCTGCAACAGTGGAGAAATCACCAGCAAATCGAAGGGCATAGCCCTCATGGTTGACGACTACGTAAAATTTAAAGATATGAAAATTAAATGTAAAATGTGAAGACAAGAAGTCTTCACTCTTCCAAATTACAATGGGTGGAGGTTGCAGCAGTAACGGCAGTGACGGCAGCGACGGAAGGATCTCTGGGGCTGCTCGAATACTCCCACGCTCCTTTTTTGTATTTTGACGTGAACGGGTTTAATTGGTGAGCTTGGGCTGAATAAGTTTACAATGACTTTCTTTGTTTTTGGGCCAGACTTGAATAGATTTAGGATTGTTCATATCCAATCTAATATGATTGATTCGACCCGATTGATTTAATTTGATTAAAATCCAATCGAAACTCATTTCAATTTGAGTTGGTTTAACTGTTAAAATATGTATTTAATTTTTTATTTTATTAAATTTAAAGTTTTTAATCCCTCAATTTATATTATAAAGTTTTAACTCGTAAATTTAAAAATTTAAAGATTTTAATAT